GTAAAAACTCTACTAGCAACTTCATGGCAAACATTTCTATACTTGCCCTCCACAGCAGGAAGCAGAAGTATATAGTGGCTGCAACATAGCATATGTTAAAAAATTTCTGTATCACCAGTGCGACTTTCATTACATCTTCTCGCCTTTGTTACCTGATGAAGCTGGAAAACAAAGTTGAGATTGAGTTCTGAAACGTGGATGACAATCTATTCATATGCAAGCACCCCAGAAATTAAGTTCATTTTGTCAAATATCAACAGCCCACACAATTCTAATAAATTCCAGTCAAACTGTGGTTTGATTAACTTTGCTGAGAAAGGTATGGCTTTTATTTGAATGGTAAAGTACAGAAAAGCAGTGGAAAGTACCCTGTTCTTACCTATTTATAACATCTAAGAAATATCTTTCTTCATTATTTGCTGCATGTTTCTCCTAGAGACAATGCAGTTCAAGTTTTCTCTGGGATGCTCATCCTTTCTTTCTTACTCCACTGGCAAGGTCAGAGACAACAGACCACTCCGCAGTCTGTAGGTAGACTTACCTAATTCCAGAAAAGATAAAGATTATTTGCATGTTCGGTATGCTATTAAGCACAAGAAACCACGATGTGTGGCACTAACATGTTTACTTTTTAAACTCATCATGGTTCCTTTCTGCTGCTTATCCTAGGACTTGCAGACATCTTTACCCTAGGACTTGCAGACATCTTTACCCATACTTGTTTTTTTCTCAAACCATATTAGTTGTCAGCTTGTGTTCCTTTTGCTTAAAAATTGCTTACGCTTCAGCCCTTTGTTTAGGCCCAACCTTTCTAGTGTATGTAGAGAAACCCTATGTATTTCCCCTCTTGTAATATATAAACGTCTTAACTAGTATATGTATATAGCACAAGAATAAATAGTGTGCTGAGGAGATAAGCTAAAAGCTAAATGTAAGCTGTAATATATAGTGTGTACTACTGAAATTAATGTACAAAAACTGCAAGAAATACTCATTGTTTATGATACTATGCTAGTGATTTTAATAGTTTTATATATGTAATACAAACAATGGACGGTGTCTCACTATTGGAAAGCACATTCTTAGGTTTCAGCTGGATCAGAACCAGTTCAATATCTGAGGAATTAACATTTTTATATTTAATAATTTTTTTAATCATCATTTTGCATATAAGAAAAAACACATAGCAGAGATTTACAAACTGAGTCTGCTGTTATCACCAAATATACGCCTCCGTTTCCTGGTTCTCCACTCTTCTATGACCTTCCTCCTTCTTCCGCACTCTCAAATTAGAAACCCAGTTAGGATCCCAGTTCCAGCTCCCTGCCCTACCCTCCCTGCAACAAAGGCTCCAGCCACACTCACTCCTCTCTTCATCACCAGGGGACCTTCTTCTGCATCTTTAGATTGCATTATTCCCCTTTCTCTCTCCTCAAAGCAAAAAGAATAGAGACAGTACAAAAAAGGACTGACTTGGTCTCTTTCCAAGAGAATGATGAGCAGGAAAGGGTACAGAATCTCGTTTTCCATCTGTGTAATGCTGCCTACTACAGTGTTGGGTTTTTTTCCCCTCTAATTAGACTACATCTTCTTGCCGCTATTTCTTTTGGCCATTAACAAAATAAAGCAAAAGCTGAATGACAATTGCCATAACAAAGATAAGCATTCCTAAGGACAAGGCAGCTCTTCAGCACTGCTGCAGCTTTAAAATTTACTTTAGATGTCCTTATTCTTTATCATATGGAGTGGCTAAAATCTAAAATTTCTTCTACCATGTGGGTAAATCTAATGTGTTTATGAGCTGCATCTAAACAGATTGTCCTGGAGGTAGTTCGAAGCTCCTAAGTCAAGGTAGGCATCCTACCCATTTTTTGGCAACCTTATGTGTACACGAGGACTTTTCCCAGCTCCTGTAAGAGGGAAACCTTCTTACAGCAATAAAGGGCAGCTCTCACAGCACACTCAGAGACTGCATGACTCTGAGTGGTATGCTTTCATCACCCCATGGGTACACAGCCCCCAGTAATCCACCAGCACCCCCTGCTGACTCTCTGGAAAGCTGCTGGGAAGCCAGTCAGTGCCCATCAATTCATGGGGTTGCTCCATCCCAGGTCCAGGACTTTGCCTTTGGTAAACCCATGAGCTTCCTGTCCGTCTCTGCCCCCAGGCTGCTGATGCCCTCCCAGCATACTGACTGCTCCTCCCAATTTCGTGTCATCTGCGAACTTGCTGAGGATGCGCTCCACCCTGTCACTCAGGGCATCAGCGAAGATGTACAGAATCAGCTGCGGTATCAAGCCATGAGGAACGCCCCTCCTAACTAGCCACCGACTTGGGTCCTTTGCACCCAACAGCAGTTTTTCCGCTAACTTTGCAGTCTGCCCATCTGGTCCCTATCAACTCAGTTTGTACAGGGATAGTCTAGGAAACTGTCAAAAGGCTTACTAAAAGTCAAGTCATCAGCTGCTCCACCCGCATCCACTAAGCCAGTCATTTCATCACAGAGGTCAGTCAGGTTTGTCAAGTATGCTCTGCCAGCAGTAAATTCATGCTGACTGTTCCCTGTCACCTCCTAGTCCTTCCTGTGTCTTGAAATAGCTTCCATGAGGTGGTCTGGCTTGTAGTTCCTTGGATCCTCCTTATTGCCTTTGTTAAACGTGGAGATAACCTTTTAATTTTTTATTTCAAAGTCACATAAAACACTTGCCAACAGGTGAGCAATGTGAAATCCGAATCAAGGCCAGACATAACCAGAGATTTTTTCAGACTGTTGTAATCTGCTGCCAAACTCCACACCTGCAAGGGGTACCCAAGTTCTCCTCCTCCATTCCTACGAGAAACTAAGGATCCCCCCCTTTTACAGATGGGAGATATGCATTTTGCCAAGCTACATTTGAATTATAACATTTGCAATATCTTAAAAGCCTTCCGAAACCCTTCTAAAATCCACACATAAAAATAATACACAATTCTGTATGTACTGTCAATAAGCCAGGCTTTACCACTCAGTTTTTTATCTCTCACACCATCAATTCCAGCTCTAGTTCACAGAACCTCCTTGCTAATTTCTGTGGCCTTGTCAGTCTTTCACCAGGTCTGTGAAAAGATAATTGCTGCTTCAATCTCCTTCTCTGAGCTAAGAAGAGGGTTTGAAATATTATGTGGTCTGGAAAGAAAATAAGATGTACTGGGGGAGAAGAGGGATGGAAGAAGGTTTTAAAAGGAATAAAATGCTGCTCCTTCCCTTCTCCCCTTTTAGGGCATTAATCTGATCTACATGATTTCTACCCAGAGGCTGCAATAGACCTCTTGTAAGAGTCTAGCTTTTAAAACACTTTGCAACATAATGCTTTTCATGAGAATGCAGCTATGCTAAATAATGCTGTCACGAACCACTGTGAAATCCAGGGGACAAATGTGGGCCTATCTGCTAACAAGGTTCTCTAGAAAACCTGTTACTAATGCAAGGGGATTTGCTCCTGCAGCAGCCCTGCTCCTCACAGGTTTGCAGAAAGCAAGCAGGCCGGGGCGGGGGGGGGCGGGGGGAGCCTGTGGGACCCAGCAAGGTGAGCTGGCCGGAAACGCTCCGCATCCCGCATCCCGACCGTTTGTACCTTATCTGCTGGGAGAGAGGGATTTCATTTAAAAAAAAAAGCAAACGCCACCATGTTTTACGTGTAAACGCGAGCAGGGGCTATGCCTCACCCTGCGGGGGGGCGGCAGGGCGAGCGGGCAACC